TTTCCCTTTGTTCCTGTTTTCTTTGACTTATACCCTCTTTCACTCATTTGAACAAGCCACAACTTTGGAAATGAACTTTGACCCCACCCTTCTATTTCTTTGCCGTCAGACTCGGTTAGCTACCAAGTCATGCTGATAACATTTCCTCAGTGTTTTTCACTTTCATTCTTTTTCTCTGGACTGTTGTTACGGATGGCTTGGATCACAGCACCAGGTTCTGTCTATGACCTCACCCCTCTGTAAGCCATTGTCTGCACTGAAACTAGTATTTTCCTAAAATACAGGTGTGACTGTTTGACTCCCTTGCTTAAAGCCCTTCACTGTTTCCCATTCCCCTTGGGATGAAGTTCACATTTCCTTAACCTGACTTACAAGGCCATCTGTAATCTAGCCCTTTGCTTAAATATCCACCCTCACCCCTTGCCCTCTTGCATTCTGTGTTCTAAACGTAGTGATTCCTCCCCCTGGTTCTTCAGACCTGCCGTGTTCTGTCTTGTCTCTGAACCTTTGCACATGTTTATTTTATTCCCCTGTGGAACACTCTTGCCCTCTGCCCACCCCCTGTGGCGCACCTCCACCACCCCTACCCAGGGTCTGGTCCCAGGTTTCCTGACTAGTTCCTATTCAGAAAGGGTAAGCGAGCTTAGAGGTCACTTCTGGGAATTCTTCCTTCACTGCCAAGTCGATTAAGTCCCCCTACTGTATGTTCTGATAACATCTTTACTTTCCTTTAGCATTGCACTTACAGTGTATCGTAACTTTTTATTAATAATCACCTCCCCGCAGATGAAAAAGTTTCTGAGGCAAGGACTCTGTCAGTCTTGTGCATTCATCATCTCTAGGACCTCGCACAGTGCCCAGCACATAGCAGGATTCATGGATGGTCAAACTGTTTCCACGCTCAGTAGCTTCCTGTTGATCACATAGGAAAATTCATGTCTCTCAAGACCTCTCAATCTGCGTCTTTCTTTCCTGCCAAGTTCCCCTGCTTCTGGCTTTTACTCTGCCCCACCTTCCATTCTCACCATCTCCCATCTTAAACTTATTTTTAACTTACTTTTAAATTTTTCTCTGTCTTTGTTCATTATATTCCTGTTGTTTTTCCTTTAACCCTTCACTTGACCAAATTGTGCTTCTTCTTTAAGGCCTAATTCAAAACGCTTCTCAACTCTCCCAGGCAGCATTCATTACTGCTTCCAGTGGTAGTGAACCTATAGTAATTTGTTCTTAGTTCCCAGTACAAGTATCATTCTTACCTTGTATTTTGATGAGTTGAGGATAAGGTCTATGTTTTATTCATCTTTGTGTAACAAGGTGTTAATGAAAGTAGTTGAATTAAATATACTTGGTCAACGTTAATGGATTTCTAGACTACTGCTTTCTACAATAGCTGTTTAATATGCATCTCTGACCACTTCAGATATTGTGGAGAACTAAAGTAGAAGTAATTTAGTGCAGTGAAAAAAAGAGCACATGGGGTCTGAGATTCACTCTGAGTCAGTGTTTCATGTGTGCCGTTTACTACCTTAAATGACTGGGGAAAATAATTGATCTACTTTGACTTAAACTGTTCTTGACTGTAAAATAGAAATAGAGGTAATACCTGTTTTGCCTCCCTTATAGGATTATGGTAAGAATTAAGTGAAGTCATGTGTATGAAAGTTCATTACACATTCTAAAATGTTATTTAAGTGTTGGTAGTAGTATTTTGACTTTTCCTCATGCATCCACCCTATTTTTGTGTTTTTTAAGACCACGGCACAGTGTGGCAAGTTTAGAAAGCATCGTGAATGAAGCTAAGAATATTCCAGCCTTTCTACCCAATGTGTTGTCCCTGAAAGAAGCCTTACAAAAGGCTCGAGAATGGACAGCTAAAGTGGAAGCTATTCAGGTAAAGAGCCTTTTGAATTGTCCTACCATTCAGGTAATGCTGTCTCATAGATGAAGCCTTTAAGCCTTTAATTCTTGAGAATAGAATAACTGGACTAAAATACTTATGTACTTAAAATTCACTTGTTTTTCCATCTGATTTTTATTTCAAAATATGTATTACCTGTTTAAACTTTACTTGTTTCTGTTGACTCCCTGCTATGAAAGATGACAGAATTAGCCATTTAGTTAATGCTTAGCAGTAGGAGTTTATTTCCTGCTGTGTTCTTTGACTTTTTTGCCATGTACACCAATTACTTTTTTTTTAATTGTAGTATAGTTAATTTACAGCGTTGTGCTAGTTTCAAGTGTACAGCAAAGTGATTCAGTTATACATATATTTGTATACTTTCTCAGATTCTTTTCCATTATAGGTTAGTACAAGATATTGAGTATAGTTGCCTGTGCTATAGAGTAGGTCCTTGTTGTTTACTTATTTTATATATAGTAGTGTGTATATGGTAATTCCAGACTCCTAATTTATTCCCCCCACTCCACCCTGCTGTCCCCCAACTACTTTTAAAATAAGTGGCAGAAAAAGAAAATGAAATCAGCATTTACTGAACCCCACAATACTCTTCGTACTATTCTGGTTGTTGTGGGAGCAGAAATGTAAGGGAAGGGTGTAAAGATAGAACCCTGGACCTCAAAATTGCATATTCTAGTTGGCGAGACATATATCATACATCTGTAGTTCAAAACAATGAGCTAAGTGTTAGCTAGAGATGAAAGTGTGCTTGAGTACATAATTTTTCTTCTGAATTACAAAACCGTTAAGCAGCATTTACTGTGTTGAGTATGTAAATACTGTTTATTGTAGAACTACACTGAAAGAAAAAGGAAGCCAACTCTCCCCCTAAACTGCTGCCCTTAGAAAGAGTATTCTAAGTGTCAAGTTCTAAGAACTTCTCTTTTACTTTCTTTTCAGTTGACTTTTTCTGAGAGCTGCTTAACTGCTACTCTTTCTGTTCTGTTTTTTAAAATTATCTATTTTCATCAGGACAGCTCCTCTGTTTGTTTCATCTTCGACCTATTTCAGGCAGTTGGTTGTTCTCAGATGACTGAGAATCCTTAGTTGGCTGCTTATGATTGAAGGACCGAGCCTGCAGGCAGAGGTAGCTGTCATGGTTTTCCTGTGTGATTATAGAGGACTGTTCCTCACCAAACGCTTCCCTTCAGTGGGGGGACTGGCTTGTCAGCTCTAAGAGAGTGGACAGCTTCTGCTGCCCTTTAGGGTACATCGCCTGGGAGAGGCTGTCTATGTCTGGGATTAGCCAGAAGGTATTCTATAGTCAGATGGCTGTAGTTGGGCACGAAAGGGAGTAGTAGTAAATATATTTCTTGAGCGTATCTGTATCTGAGCTTTCTTTTCTCTTTCGATTATTCTCTTCTCTGTCTATTCTTATTCTAGTACCGTAGTGATTTAATGATACCATTATAATATCTCTTATGGCTAGAACCTTCTCATTCTTCTTAAAAATTGGACTTAAGTTTCTTGTCTTTCTGTTTCATTGTAACTTCTAAAATGGATATATAGGCAAATATGTCAGTTAATACGTGGGAAGTAACTATTGGAATGTCAGTTTAGCACGAAACACTATGCCTTTCCTTCATAGCTTCTGAGTAGTGATGAATGTTATGGGGATATACACAGTTTCTTACAGGAAAGGTTATGTGTTCTGTCTGCTGGGGGATTGATGCACTCTGAGGTGTCATGCTGAATTATTGTCTACAGGCTGCCAACCTACTACTTCTGATATTCTTGCCGAGTCCCTGGAATGGATTACTTGTGAACTCTCACTTCTGTAATGATTCAGTTATTTAGTAAATTTAAAGCCTTATAAATTCGAAAAACAATAATTACTTCATTACGTGGAAACATTGAAACATTGTGACTTAGAAGGAAAATATCCATTCTTGTTTGTGTTTGTAGGACATAAAATGGAGGTGGTTATCAGAACTAAAATACTGCTCTGTAGTAGTTGGAAAAATTGTGAAAGACTTTGAAACAGGCAGAAGAGATTACTGATGTCCTTTCTGTAGAATGGTGGATGTTGTTTAGCGAACCATCCAGGATTATTTGATTCTAGGAGTGTATGCCTTAGACTTTCTTTGACCAAGTTATTTTACAACTCTCTCAGTTGTTTAAAAATGATAGTAATGTGAATGAATTAGTCTGTAGAAAAGCAATTAAATTTGTAAGGAACAAATGATTTTCCACACTGTAGAAAAGATGATTCCATTGATGGGTGTGATATTAAATACCTGTTTCCATCTACTAGCAAATTCCTTTCCTCATTCCTAATTGCATTTATATATGTTTGTTTTTAGATTGTCCTTTGAACTAGTTTTTACATCTCACTGGGTCCCTTGTTAATTAATAAAACAAAAATCTTTGACAGTGTGAATTTACGCAAACTTTTTTTAAAGGACGTTGGAAGGCTCTGTTAATTCAAGGGATATTGATACAGTTAGGTTCAAAGAATAATATTTAATGAAAAAATTAACGCTAAAGTCTTTGTGAGGTCTACCAACAATATATTGCCAGACGTTCTAAGAGATTGCAAATTGTGTAAGGATGCCCTTTGTTCTCCAGAGTGGCAGCAATTATGCTTACTTGGAGCAGCTGGAAAGCTTATCTGCTAAAGGCCGCCCTCTCCCTGTGCGTCTTGATGCGTTGCCCCAGGTGGAGTCACAAGTGGCGGCAGCACGGGCCTGGAGAGAACGGACTGGGAGGACCTTTCTTAAGAAGAATTCCAGCCACACATTGCTCCAGGTGAGGGGCGGTTTACTTTATGTGTGTGCACTTCAGCACCCTCATCAGAAGTTGCTGATTTAATACCTGAGGTGAGGGTTGTTTTCAGTTTATCCGGTCATGGTTACACAGGTGATTCCGTTTTGGGTAATATCAGATGTTGACCAGTAATCTGGAGCCTTGGGCAGACTTGTTTCCAGTTCATCTAATACTATGTCTAGAAAAAGAAGTCAGCCTGATCTTATATCTGCTGTTATAATGGACTCTGTCACTGAAAGATCTTATTTCTCAGAGGCACAAATTTAAAAAAAATCTTTTTTAATTGAAGTATAGTTGATTTACAGTGTTGTGTTAGTTTCTGGTGTATAGCAAAGTGATTCAGTTATACAGATATATTCTAAATTTATTGATTGATGGCTGCATTGGGTCCTTGTTGCTGTGTGTGGGCTTTTCTCTAGTTGTGGCGAGCGGGGGCTACTCTTCACTGTGGTGCGCTGGCTTCTCATTGCAGTTGCTTCTCTTGTTGCGGAGCACAGGCTCTAGGCACGCAGGCTTCAGTAGTTGTGGCTCGTGGGCTCTAGAGTGCAGGCTCAGTAGTTGTGGTGCATGAGCTTAGTTGCTCTGCAGCATGTGGGATCTTCCCGGACCAGGAATCAAACCTGTGTCCCCTGCATTGGCAGGCAGATTCTTAACCAGTGCGCCACCAGGGACGTCCCACAAGTATATATTCTTTTTCAGATTCTTTTCCATTATAGGTTATTACAAGATGCTGAATATAGTTCCCTGTGCTATACAGTAGGACCTTGTTGTTTATCTATTTTATATATAGGTAGTGTGTATCTGTTAATCCCCAGCTCCTAATTTATCCCTCTCCCCACCTTTTCCCTTTGGTAACCATAGGTTTGTTTTCTGTGTTTGTGACTCTGTGTCTGTCTTCTAAATAAGTTCATTTGGATCATTTTTTTTAGATTCCACATAGAAGTGATATCATAATATTTGTCTTTCTCTGTTTTTCTTCACTTAGTATGACAATCTCTAGGTCCATCTGTGTTGCAGCAAATAGCATTAGTTCATTCTTTTTTATGGCTGAGTAATATTCCATTGTATATATGTACCACATCTTCTTCACCCATTCCTGTTGATGGACACTTAGGTTGCTTCCATGTCTTGGCTATTGTGCATAGTGAGAAGCACAAATTTCAATACTCATTACCCTTTTCATGTTGATCAGTTGAACATAGTAGTTAAGAGCATAGACTTTGGAGTAAGATATTTTCATGTTTGAGGACTGGCCTCCTAGTGCTAACCCTGTGTCTGTGGGCAAGTTGTTGCCTTTCTGGTTTCCCTCGTTTGTACAGTGCCGATAATACCACCTACATCAGAGGCTTGTTGGGAGTTTTGAATTATATAATGCATATGAAGTTCAAAGGAACTTGTCTAAGACATGTGAGTGGTCAGTAAATGGTTCATTTTATTTTCAGTTTTGAGATTTTTTTTTTTTAAACCAGAGCTCCATATTTGGTTTTATTTTTGTAGGTGCTTAGTCCCCGAACTGACATTGGTATTTATGGGAGTGGAAAAAATAGAAGGAAAAAAGTAAAAGAACTAATAGAAAAAGAAAAAGAAAAGGATCTGGACCTTGAACCTCTGAGTGATCTGGAGGAGGGATTGGAGGAAACCAGAGATACAGCCACAGTGGTAAGAAATTATGTAGTGCATCTTGAATTTGCTTGGTGAATACAGAATTCTGTGAAGGTATTAGCAGAATCACTGTTTTTTATGTTCTTAACTATTCTTATTTTTGTGTACTTTATCTTTGGCTTTATGGTTATACATATTTCACATCTTTTTTAATATTTGGAATCAAAGAATATAAAAAGTTTACTCTTCTCTCTCCCTAACATTGTCTTTTCCATCTCTCTTCTTTATTGTTATTTTAATAGTCATCTAATATTCCATCAAATTATCCATAATTTGCTGAACACTTTTCTGATATTGACCATTTTTGTTGTTACTAGGAGTTCGCTGTTGTGGATAATAGCAAAGTGAACTTCTTTGTATAGCCTTTTCCTTTTTTCAAATCATTTTCCTACACTTGACTCTTAGGGATGGGATTACTGGGCTAGAATTTCAGAGCATTTGGTGCCTAGTGCTATTGTGCTTTTCAAAGGACTTATACCAGCTGACTGACAGCAGCTGTAATTTGCAGTGTCTACCTCTTTTAGTAGCATTCAGTAGTATAGTGAGTGTGCAATAAGATGTTTGTAGCTAATTAAAATTATGGATTTTATTGGAGAGTAGGAGGAATGTGTTACAATTACAAGGAGACTGAGGAAGTAGAAAATAAAATGAGTTTGGGCAATATGTAGTAGTAGTGAATCGCATATACTAAGTGAGTTCATATGGCTCTTTCTGCCTAAATGATCCTGTTTTGAGGCCGATGGAAATAATTTCTTGTTAGAGAGCCTGCCCAATAAGTTAGTCTTGCCGGAAAAATAGCACTGGAAATTATTTCAGAATTGCTTCAAAGCTACCAGAGTTTAAAAAGAAAATGCCCTGACAATATTCATAATAATTAAATTTTGTTTTTATATACTTTTTTGAAATGAGTTACATAAAACCTTGTTATAATTAGTCATCAGGCTTTGTTATTCTTCTTCTACATAAGTTGGAAAGTCCTAGAAAGAAATAAAAATTGGTTTGTATCAAACTTTCCCCCAGAGAATGAATTACAAGGGCGTGAGGAGTCAGTATTGATTGAATGTTTATCTTGTGCCAGGCACCAAGTTAGGCACTTCCATGCATTATCTTATTTAATCCTTAAAACAGCAAAAAGAGGTTAGTAGTGTTCTCATTTTTCGGAAAACTGAGATTCAGAAAACTTGTAACCCGGATCAGGAGTCTATTAAGTGCAAGAGCCAGGCCTCATACCAAGGCTGCTTGATTCCAAGGCATACCATCTTTCCACTGCACCCTATAGAAGAATTAAAAAGCACTCTACTGATGCGAATTGTGAGTGCTTGTGAATTTTGCAGATGAGGAATGTTTGCACAGAAACTGTCATGCTGCCCCAATTTTTAAGAAATTACTGATTTTTTTTTTTAAAAAGGACAATGCTTTGGACTTCCCTGGCAGTCCAGTGGTTAAGACTCTGTGTATCCAGTGCAGGGGGGCGGGTTTGATCCCTGGTCGGGGAACTAAGATCCCACATGGGTGTGGCCAAAAAAAAAAAAAAAAAAAAGACAGTGCTCTGTCACCGTGAGGCTACAACATGGAGGTGATCCCTTAGCCTTGAAGATTTGGTACTTTTGGGGTATTTTGCAGTGACTCCCTTCACTTAAATGTTTGTTGTACACAGGTGGCAGTTTTCAAAGAACGGGAGCAAAAAGAGATTGAAGCCATGCATTCCCTCAGAGCAGCCAACCTAGCCAAGATGACAATGGTAGACCGCATAGAAGAAGTAAAATTTTGCATTTGCCGCAAGACAGCGAGTGGGTTTATGCTCCAGTGTGAGCTCTGCAAAGACTGGTTTCATAACAGCTGTGTTCCTCTTCCTAAGTCAAGTTCCCAGAAGAAAGGGTCTAGCTGGCAGGCTAAAGAAGTAAAATTCCTTTGCCCTCTCTGTATGCGGTCTCGAAGACCTAGGCTAGAGACTATTCTGTCCCTCCTGGTATCCCTTCAGAAGTTGCCTGTACGGCTGCCTGAAGGAGAGGCCCTTCAGTGTTTGACAGAACGTGCAATGAGTTGGCAGGATAGGGCCCGGCAAGCCCTGGCCACAGATGAGCTGTCCTCTGCCCTGGCCAAGCTCTCTGTGTTGAGCCAGCGGATGGTGGAGCAGGCAGCTCGGGAGAAAACTGAAAAGATCATCAGCGCAGAGCTCCAAAAAGCCGCTGCCAATCCAGACTTACAGGCAAGTTTAGAATTTTCTCTTTTTTCCTGTTTCATGGGATAATATTTGTCAGTGTGTAAGTAGTAAATCAAATCTATCTTACCAGTAGATTAGGAAAGTAACAGTAAGTTGCTAGCAACTATATTACGCATAATTTCCTCTTTGCACGTACGCCCATAGGATTTTCTTTGGGTTTATACGTAAGGTTGTTTCAGAGAAGTATTACCTGGAAATATCATTCAGGTGGACCTTAGCGTTATAATCAAATAATTTGATCTGTACTAACTGTTGAATTCTGTTAGCCAGTTTGCAGGTTTGTTAGGTTTTGGTGGTCTTAAGCATACATTAATTACTCATGTTTTTGTAGTGTGTCTCTCTGCTCATCTTGGGATTGCTTGTCGTTTAGGGACACTTGCCTAGTTTTCAGCAGTCTGCTTTTAACCGGGTGGTGAGCAGTGTATCTTCTTCCCCTCGGCAAACGGTGGACTATGACGATGAAGAGACGGATTCTGATGAAGACATTCGGGAGACGTACGGCTGTGACACGAAGGTAAGTACAGGGCAGGCCGTGTGGGCACATACCTGATCACTGAGTTTGTTCAAAAAAGCTGTTGGACACTGGTGTTTGAAACCTGAAAGTGGAAGAGAAAGCTAGTCATCTATCTATCCTAGTTGATGGTGATAGCATTTTTTCAGTGCTCCAAAAAATATATAGATTGATGAAACTCAATTTTTTTTTTTTAAAGGATGGAATTTTTAAAAATCTGTATTTATTTTCCTCACCCTGAGGCTTAGAGGGACTAGAAAAATTATACATTTAAGTTATTGAAAACTTTCGTGGCTGATTTCATTGTTTTTTCCTTTGGGTTGTTAAAGTCTCTGTAGTTTTAAGAATCCCATTCTAGGGCTTCCCTGGTGGCACAGTGGTTGAGAGTCCGCCTGCCGATGCAG